TGGAAACATATACGTTCTCAAGATAACCCCGCGGACTTAATTTCTCGCGGTAGCAGCGCAAAAACATTAATTACTAATGATTTATGGTGGTTAGGCCCTTCGTGGTTGACAGGTGATTCTAAACATTGGCCGCAATCAACAGAAGGAGTAGTAGTTGTTCCTGAAGAAAAATTAAAAGCAGTAGTAACATTAGCAGTAGTTTCCGATACGAATGAATTATTTCTTCGGTATTCCGAGTATACACGATTAGTGAGGATAGTAGCATATTGCCTAAAATTCATAGAAAAAATTCGAACAAAACGCAGTGACAATAGTATAGACCGTGAAGACATACAGCTGACAGTAACAAACTTACAAGCAGCACAGCACTGCTTAATCCGTATAGCGCAGAAAGACAGATTTCAGCCTGAATTAGATGCATTAGCGAAAGATAGGGCAATACCGAAGCAAAGTCATTTGCAATCGTTAGCGCCGTTTATAGACAAAAAAGGTATACTTAGGGTAGGCGGGAGGCTGAAAAACGTGTCCATTCCCTACGATCAAAAGCATCCGATTGTACTGCCCGCAAAGCACGCGTTGACAGATTTGATTATTAGAAACGAGCATATTAGGCTCCTTCATGCAGGGTGTCAGCATGTAGTCGTGTCTCTTCGTGAACGTTTCTGGCCAATTAATTGCACCAGAAATGTAAAGCGAATACTCCGAAGCTGCGTGAGATGTTTTAGAATAAAACCGCGTGGGATAGAATATCCAATGGGTCAGCTACCTGCAGATAGAGTGAAACCTTCTCGCCCATTCTCAACCTGCGGTATAGATTATGCAGGTCCGTTTACGACAAAAGATCGTACCCGTACTAAAACGTCAATTAAATCGTACGCATGTATATTTGTATGTTTCGCCACAAAGGCTACGCACATTGAATTAGCCACTGACCTCAGTACTGACGCGTTTTTAAAATGTCTCAATAGATTCATTTCCCGTAGAGGCCTTTGTCAGAGTATTGTTTCCGACAACGGAACAAATTTTGTCGGAGCAAAAAATAGATTCGCAGACCTACAGAAGTTATTGCTTAGTGAACACAATTCGAAAGTTTCAAAGTTTTTAAATGAAAAAATGATACAGTGGTCCTTAATACCTCCTCAAGCACCTCACTTTGGAGGTCTTTGGGAAAGCGCTGTGAAATCAACAAAGTATCACCTCAATAGAGTCATAGGAGAGCAAAAATTAACATACGAAGAGTTATACACGCTATTAGTTCAAATAGAATCCTGCCTAAACTCACGGCCATTGAGTCCCATTTCATCAGTTATACACGCTATTAGTTCAAATAGAATCCTGCCTAAACTCACGGCCCTTGAGTCCGATTTCATCTGATCCCCATGACCTTACTCCCTTGACTCCTGGACATTTTTTAGTTGGCACTGCACTGTGTGCGCTGCCAGAGGAAAACCTAACAGAAATTAAATCGAATAGGCTAAACCGGTACCAGATGCTACAGCAAATGTTTCAGCATTTTTGGCGGCGGTGGCACAAAGAATACCTGAACAGCCTTCAGCAAAGGTACAAGTGGAGACATTCATCAGATCACCAACTAACAGAAGGCAGCCTCGTTATCATCAAAGATGACAACCTACCACCCTTGCGATGGAGTCTGGGCAGAGTAGCAGAGGTACACCAGGGCAAGGATGGAGAAGTACGGGTCGTCACGATAAGGACTGCGACCGGTACCTATAAACGACCGGCTACGAAGATTTGCATATTACCTATTAACGAGAAGGAAGATGCGAATGTAACCAAATAGAAAATTTAATGTAACAATATACATACATTAGCATTAGGATATTTTAAAGTTTTGTATTTATATATTTATGTATATAAGTTAAAAATTGAATATTAAAATTGAAATATTGGAAAAAAAATGAGAAAAGAAATATTCCATTTTAAAAATTGAGGTTTGAGCCATTTTTAAAGTTTTGTATTTATATATTTATGTATATAAGTTAAAAATTGAATATTAAAATTGAAATATTGGAAAAAAAATGAGAAAAGAAATATTCCATTTTAAAAATTGAGGTTTGAGCCATTTTTAAAGTTTTGTATTTATATATTTATGTATATAAGTTAAAAATTGAATATTAAAATTGAAATATCGAAAAAAAAAATGGAAAAGAAATATTCCGGTACCGGGAATCGAACCCGAGCCTCCTGGGTGAGAGCCAGGTATCCTAGCCACTAGACCATACCGGACTTGGAAGAGTTTCTTCTTTAGCTTCTTTAAACATATAAAATGTTTTGCAATAGTTCATTATTTTTTCTTATTAAATATTACTATCTTAATACTATATAGATATTAATGAATACATTATAATATATACTGTATAAAAATACTAACAAAGATACTCATAGCATGGATTATAAGATAAAACTGACATAACAAATATAAATTAAATATTGAAAAAAGTTACTATAACAAATGTACTTATTCTTTTATTATGTTTGACAAATATTATTACTATACGTCTTATTGTTACAACATGGAATTTTTATTTCACTCTTCTTTCAATTTCTGAATTTATGTCAATCTTACTAAATCTTACTTAAAACACAAATATTTTACTTTACAATATTTCGAATTCACTGAAGCAAAAATTTAAAGATATGAAATTTGATAATATCTCAAAGCTAACATACAAAAATAATAAATGAATAGTGATAAATAACGAACCTAATTAATTATACATACAAAGTAATTTATAATATTTCGAAAGTACCGTTCATACTTTATATTCTCTAGGAACGTTCAATTCCTTCGTCGAATACGATGGCGCCTTTCAAGAACTGAAAAGTTTAGCGTTTTCTACACACAACGTTATTTTCCTTCCAAGAGTATCCCCTACGTGTTATGCATGTCGACATAACAAGCCTTCGTTGTTCTGAATGACAATGTACACCAGCGTATTTATAGACGACCACCATCTACACACGTCGAGACTTTCTTTCGGTTCCTTTGCTATCCGTTTTCTTCGAGATTTCTACGGGACTTGCGACTACCCTAACGGTATACAGTACTGATTCGTAATAAGCAACTCGCTCGGGTCTGGCGAGTTGCTTGTTACGAATCAGGTATATTTTCGGCTTGCCTTTGTTCCCGAGCGCGAGGACGGTGACGGCGTAGAAAAAACAGGGGGTTGGGTGTAGCGGTATACTATAAAGTAATCGGTCGCGCGGCGATGTTATTCTTTAGACAAGGACAGAACATAGCATGCTTTCCCTTTTTAATAGTAGTAAAATTTCATGAATGGAAAAATATACCGGATTCGTAACAAGCAACTGCCCAAACCCAAGCCAGTGGCTTATTACGAGTGGCTTATTTCGAATCGATGTAGAATCAGATGAATCGAATACGTTGCAATTCCTAATTTGTCACACTTTGCCTTATCTTTTTACAATTATGTGAATATAAACATATACCTACATAGTAGTTTAAGAAATATTGATGTCAAAAAATAGTAGGTCATCGCCATTACTGCGACAATAAAGCAATTCGGAAAAAATTATGGTTGAACGAGCAGCTAGTTTTATGACCATTTCATTGTACATAGTTCATATAGTATTATATATTGTATATAGTGTATTATACTTACATAATTTTTCCTTCAACTTTTTTTTATTTTTGTTAAATAAATTAATTAAAATTATAGATAAAAATGTACCTCAATTATTGTTCACTGTCAACCGTTAGATTTAAAAAAAATGTCATTACGACAGAATCGCTATGTATCAGAATGAGAAAACAATATAATGTACCGGATTCGTAACAAGCAACTGGCCAGATCCGAGCGAGTGGCTTATTACGAATCAATGTAGGATTAAATGAATGAACGACAGAATCGCTATGCATCAGAGTGAGAAAACAATATATATGTTCTGTCCTCTTTCCACTAAACTGTTCGGTCGACCGTGAAAATTTATGACTTCTTCGGTTTCGCGGACCTCTCACTCTTTCTCGGATCTCTCACTCAGCGGCCGACTTCAAACAAAGAAGAGGGGATAGAAATTTGCTTGTTACGAATCACAAACTGTTGCTTGTTACGAATCAGTACTGTAGTTAGAACTTGCTAGTGATCAGACTAGTCAGTAACCAGTACATAGAAAATTCAAGTTTCACACACACTTTCACACACAAACATATAATTCCATCCACATATTCAAATAAACTGTTTTCTGTTATTTAATCACGTGCATCATTATTAACGGCCCCAATCCGGTCAAATTGGGTGGTCCTTCACAACACAGTACATAGACGGCACGTAGTGCAATATCAGGGCTCGACCAAACCCTAACACTTGCGTCCAATAATGTAGCAATTACGGGGCAGGACTTCTAATCTTTTCATCGAAGATATCTTTGCAATAACGGTTTAGGTTATTCATATATACTGAATTATGACATGAAATTAATTAATAATTGAATTTTATTCTTTTAATTAATATTTCATTTGTATCAATTATGAATGTGAATCTATTTAAGATTGCTTAGTAAATACAATGAAAAAAGATGATATGCAAATTGGAAGCGGAAAGTACTTTTTTAAAGGAATGTATCGGTTCTTGATGTTTTCAACCATGGCGCATTACAACACAAAATCTCAAAGAATTGGGGAATAATAGGTGTCAATATCGAATTACCACATTAAAGTAGGGCTCCTACATTTTCGATAAAAAATCGCATTTTTTTATCTTTTTGCGGTTTTTGATTTTTTACAACTACAGTTTGCGACAGAAAAATCTGAAAAAATTCTATAATATGCGCTTTGTTAACCTCAATGTATCAGTATTTTTTTAGAATTTTCATACGAAATTAAATAGGAAAAACAGGCCAAAAACCGAAATTTCGATTTTTCCGTTTTACTACCCCCACCGATGAGATAAAGGATTGAAACTTGGCGTTTCAGACACCAAGGAGAGATTTTTTCTCGATATTCTATCGATTCACGTATTGAGTGTTTTATTTGGCACATTTTACTGCCTTATTTGAAAGGCAGTCAGAATGTTCAAATCTTCTCAAATGTCTAAAAGTCAACAAGTGTGCAGCTTCTTTCTTCCTTATACATCAGGAAAGAACTTAGAAAATAATTATTGATGAAACGGTACAGATATTAGGTGATCGATTTATCAAATAGAGTAGTAATTTTTAACCGAGTTCGAAAAAGGAGGAGGTTACTCAATTCGATCAGTATATTTATTTAATCAGAAAAATATCACTAATTTGTCGATGAACGTTTCATCACGAAAAAAATAAAAATACAAAAGTTTCATTATTGCATTGGTATTGTTTCGCCGACGTATACCGATTTGTTTATGCTATTGTAACGTCCCTGGTACTAGACTCAGGTATTTTACAGCGCTTATGAAGCAAAGAGCGGCTTTTGCTTATTAAGCGACTCGTTTTTACTATAACTAATTCTAAAAGAATGTGGGATCGTGGTGGCGTGTGGTTAAAGAGTGAAATCTACAGGTTAATACCTTTCATTAATTAGGTTTATTCAAATAATGATGAGAAAAGGAGTTATAATTAACAATTATTTTAGTAAATATAAAAATGTATATGTGACTGAATTCTATAAGCAAATTAGAGTATAATAGACTTGTTGTTGACGCAAATCGCAGAACGGTAGCTA